AAAAAAAAAAAAAACAAGCCATGAAAAGGTTTTCTTACAACAGGACAGTCGGACTCACCTCAGGTAATCATAGAGACCGTACATTGGCAGGAAGTCCACGTCAGTCAGGAACACGTAGGGTGTGTTGGCATTCTTCAGGGCCACGTTCCTCACCAGGTTGACCGGGTAGAACTGGCCCTCCTTGTAGACAATGTGGTAACCCACGTTCTTGCGGTTCTTGAGGACCTCGGAGGCTTGGGCATAACGCAGGAACTGCTGAGCCTCAGCGTCAGACATGTAGAGAGCTAGGCTGATGGGGCCTTCCCAGTGCTTACAGATGGCCTCCAGCATCTGCAGCCTGTAGCAGGCACACACGGTCATTTCACACATTTTCAAGCACACAGATCCAAGCCAGGAGACGATTACAGTACACGGGTTCAGTACCTGTCCATGGAGAGCTGGGCCACCAGAGTGATGTCAGTGTTGTCCTCAGTGGGCGTGTAGTCATACTGCAGGAAATACAGGTGAACTCGGTGCACTGTCAGTCGCTCTCGACGGAAGTCGTAACACTGATCGTCCTCGTCCAGCTCCTCCAGAGCCTTTTGTAGCTGAGCAAAAGTACACACAGTTACAACAGTTAAATGTCATTTTCAATTTCCTTTATCTTCGAACCCAACGGTCCCCAACCCCCGAGCCACCGGCCGGTACCGGTCCGTGAGTCGTTTGTCATTAGTATAGAATAGAATAGAATAGAATAGAATTCAACTTTATTGTCATTGCACATGTCATAGGTACAGGGCAACGAAATGCAGTTTGCATCCATCCAGAAGTGCTTTAGCCATGATATAGATATATCTTCCTTCCTGTAGATGTCCTTTATGGCAGGAAGTGGTGCTCCGGCGATGCGCTGGGCAGTTTTCATGACCCTTTGCAACGCCTTCCGGTCCGAGGCAGAGCAGTTCCCGTACCAAACTGTTATACAGTTGGTCAGGATGCTCTCGATGGCGCAGCGATAGAAGTTCACCAGGATGTCTGAGGACAGGTGGTTCTTCCTCAGAGTCCTCAAGAAGAAGAGGCGCTGGTGAGCCTTCTTGACCAGCTTGGAGCAGTTGGTCGTCCAGATGAGATCCTCAGAGATGTGAACTCCCAGGAACTTGAAGCTGCTCACACGCTCCACAGCCGTCCCCTTAATGTGGATGGGTGGATGTGGGTCAGCATTCCTCTTGTGGTCCACGATGAGCTCCTTGGTCTTCTCAGTGTTGAGCATCAGGTTGTTTGTGTCGCACCACTTAGCCAGACGATCCACCTCCTCCCTGTAGGCGGCCTCATCGTCACTGATGAGGCCAATCACCGTGGTGTCAACTACAAACTTAATGATGGTGTTAGAACCACCGGCAGGTCTGCAGTCGTGGGTGAA